CAGGAAAGATGAGCTCGATGATTTCTGATAACTCCCGAGGATTACAGTGCCACTGTGGATTTCAATGTTCCTTGCTAATTTTGTGTCAACCAAATACTATGAGAGACAGTTCTACAATTGCCCGCGAAGAATCATGGAGAATTGTGACTTTTTTGGTGGGCAGATGAGGTGAAAGATTCCACTGCCGAGAGTGATCGGACATGGAGAGTATCTCTGCAAGACGGTTTAACTCGTAACATACACCATCTGCATTTTAAAAAATAATAATAATAGTCTTTTTATTAATTCTTGAAATTCTGATACTCACTATTAAGTGTGGTGTATATCATTTTTTTTGTTTTGTTCTGCAGTGAATTTTTGTTTTTAAAGTATAAAATATATGACAGTTTTATTTCAAACAACATTACAATACAAAAATAAAATAGTCATTTATCCAGAAACAGCTGCAGCACAACTGTTTTCAAACTGCAAAAAACAAACAGACAACCAGCTTATTCGCAGCAGCTTCTGCGAAACATCTCATTATTAAGTTGTAGATGCCCCAAACAGCCCCTTGGTTTATAACAATAGTAGCTCCAAAATAAAATTGGAAGCCGCATACACCATCATAATTGCAATAACAAAAGAGCTGGCAGCTGAAAATCAATCATTTTGTGAAAAACAAATTCAGAATTATAGGCGTGAGTCCAATAATATAAATATTTATAGGAGTGAGTCCAAATGATTTCTCCAGAAATGTCGAACTAAACTTTCATTATACTAACCTCAGTTGATCTTGATAGCCACATGATATAAAATCATGAAAGTTTTGTTAGTTTCATTATAAAAAGATTCGGAACTAGGATGAAATATTGAAGAAACATTATTCATCAACAGACAAAACACACAAGAGTTGAGAACACCGGGCACATGTCAGCCCTCAGAATAATCAACTCATGCAAATAAGTATTTTCTAAAAAAAAGCATTAATGGAAGATATTAAGAATCAAGCGGAAAAGTGAGATAAACTGATCGAGCTAACTGTGCAAAACATGAGAATAAGTCCAAATATGCATGATCTCTTGTCAAGATTATATATTGTAGTTTAAAACTTAGTAGTTGAAAATAGTTTAACCTACTAAGGACCATTAATTAGTTGAAAATGGAAAACGGAAAACATGTTCCTAATAAAAACGTGAAATTTTAAATTCATTCAGGAAAGATGAGCTCGAGGATTTCTGATAACTCCCGAGGATTACAGTGCCACTGTGGATTTCAGTGTTCCTTGCTAATTTTGTGTCAACCAAATACTATGAGAGACAGTTCTACAATTGCCCGCGAAGAATCATGGAGAATTGTGACTTTTTTGGTGGGCAGATGAGGTGAAAGATTCCACTGCCGAGAGTGATCGGACATGGAGAGTATCTCTGCAAGACGGTTTAACTCGTAACATACACCATCTGCATTTTAAAAAATAATAATAATAGTCTTTTTATTAATTCTTGAAATTCTGATACTCACTATTAAGTGTGGTGTATATCATTTTTTTTGTTTTGTTCTGCAGTGAATTTTTGTTTTTAAAGTATAAAATATATGACAGTTTTATTTCAAACAACATTACAATACAAAAATAAAATAGTCATTTATCCAGAAACAGCTGCAGCACAACTGTTTTCAAACTGCAAAAAACAAACAGACAACCAGCTTATTCGCAGCAGCTTCTGCGAAACATCTCATTATTAAGTTGTAGCTGCCCCAAACAGCCCCTTGGTTTATAACAATAGTAGCTCCAAAATAAAATTGGAAGCCGCATACACCATCATAATTGCAATAACAAAAGAGCTGGCAGCTGAAAATCAATCATTTTGTGAAAAACAAATTCAGAATTATAGGCGTGAGTCCAATAATATAAATATTTATAGGAGTGAGTCCAAATGATTTCTCCAAAAATGTCGAACTAAACTTTCATTATACTAACCTCAGTTGATCTTGATAGCCACATGATATAATATCATGAAAGTTTTGTTAGTTTCATTATAAAAAGATTCGGAACTAGGATGAAATATTGAAGAAACATTATTCATCAACAGACAAAACACACAAGAGTTGAGAACACCGGGCACATGTCAGCCCTCAGAATAATCAACTCATGCAAATAAGTATTTTCTAAAAAAAAGCATTAATGGAAGATATTAAGAATCAAGCGGAAAAGTGAGATAAACTGATCGAGCTAACTGTGCAAAACATGAGAATAAGTCCAAATATGCATGATCTCTTGTCAAGATTATATATTGTAGTTTAAAACTTAGTAGTTAAATATAGTTTAACGTACTAAGGACCATTAATTAGTTGAAAATGGAAAACGGAAAACATGTTTCCTAATAAAAACGTGAAATTTTAAATTACATGGCTAGACTGGGTATACTTGACGAATCAACAAAGGGTATAACACTACACAAATTCCTCATGTAATTATTTTGCTTACAGAAAACAAGGCTATAATGAAACCAACATGTTTTAAATTTACAAAAAAAAAAAATGAGCACTATGATTCAATACAGCACATTAAAGTAACATAATTCTGATAATATGAGGACAAAATACAGCTGGATTAGTCTGTAAGGTTCATTTCCAAACAGGAAATAATAGCAGGTCTAGAAATTTGTTAGAAAAAAAAATATAGGGATAAAAAAGCATCAGAGCACAGGAAAGTAATTTCAAAAGAAGAGCTACAAACTATCCTGGGAAATCATCTTATAAACAGTATCCTAACAAACAAAATAATAAGAAGCGTAGCTTGAAAATTTCCTATATTTCCCATCATGTGGAAAAGCAAATAAGGGAACAAGTAAATAAGGAATTGCATAACTGATATGCATATGACCTTGGACAACATGGGCCCATCCACAGTTTAAGAAATCGTGATTCTCGTACTACATTGGTGGGGGGGAAATTATTCTCCCTTAATAATCCATTATTACGTTTTTATTTTGGTTCTTCTTATCATGATCATTTGAATTTCCCTCCAATTGTATGACGATTAGTATAAGTTGTATATATTTATTATTTGTTTTGTATTAGTTAATATGAAAATCAAAGAGTTTCCCTCTAAAAGCTCCTCCTAAACTCCACATGAGATCAAAGCCCTGGCTCTTCCTGGGACAAATCCTTCTTATCATGATGATTTGGAGCTGTAAATTTTTGTTATTCCCTTGTATTAATTTAATGAGGAATTAGGAAGTTTTCCCTCTAAAAAAGTTCCACCTAAATTTCACATTGTATCAGAGCCTTAGCTCTTCCGGGGACAAATCCTTCTTATCATGATGATTTGAATTTCCCTCCAATTGCACGAGGGTTAGTTTAAGTTGTATATATTTGTTATTTTCTTGTATTGATTTAATGAGAAAATTAGTGCTTTTCCTCTAAGAAAGTTCCTCCAAATTTTCACAAGGTGTCAAAAGCCCTAGCTCCTCCTGGGACAAATTCGTCGACAGCTTCCCATTTGTGATCTCTTTTCCGGCGGGAATCCTGGGATTTCTCTCAAGTGGAAATCCCAAACGCGCGGCTACAACTCTTTGTTTTAGGTCCTGCACGACAATCCTCTCTTTGACAACAACTGCTTTATCTCTCTAGAGCAAATACTGTGTCGCCGACAAAAAATTTATAAGTAAAAATCTTGTGTCGAAGACAAACAATTTGTCTCTCCAATAGAAATCATGTGTCCGCTAAAAGACAATTTCTTCCAGGTGAAACACTTTCCCGCCAACACCTTATCATGCAAAGGAAAAAAAATGATCATCTCATTAAGGAAAATCTCGCAACAAAGATTATTGATCAAAAATATCGGACATGGAAGAATGAAAATAACATGATGATGTCATGGGTTGTCAACTCCATAACCACAAAAATTGGTGAAAACTTCCTCCAATACAAAATGACAAAAGAAATATAAGGCATCGCAAGGGAAACATATTCAAGTGCTGACAACACCCCTGAGTAGTTTGACATTGAAATTAAATTACATGATTTGTGACAGGGATAGTGGGATAGTTGAATGTTACTCAATACTTCAACACACTCCAGTTATTGGCTCCAACTAGACATATATGAAACATACACACAGAGATGCTCACAAGACTGTTGTTTACAAAACAATTGTTGAACAGAAGAAAACCTTCAAGATCCTTCTAGGACTCAACAAGGAACTAGATGAAGTCAGAGGAAGAATTATGGGAACCAAACCTCTTCCCTCAATACATATAGCATTTACTAACGTACAAAGTTGGAGGTGCTCACAAGACTGTTGTTTACAAAACCATTGTTGAACAGAAGAAAACCTTTAAGATCCTTCTAGGACTCAACAAAGAACTAGATGAAGTCAGAAGAATTATGGGAACCAAGCCTCTTCCCTCAATTCATGTAGCATTTTCTAACGTACAAAAGGAAAAGAAGTAATCTCACTACATCAAATGTTGACAATTCGGCTTTATACACTCACAAATTATCTCAAAACAACAAATCAAAGAGCAACATATCATAGTGTGAACATTACAAGAAGCTTGGTCATCTTAAGGAGAAGCGTTGGTAAATTTATGGAAAGTCCATGGATTAGAAGCCCAAAAAAGTCAAAGGTGATGAGGAAAATCAAGTAAACATAACATCAAAGGAAAACAAACCTCATGAGCATAAGTCCATTCAGCAAGGAAAAACTTGAAGCTCTCCAAAAGCTTCTAAGACAATATTTTAAACCTTCTATCAGACTCCTAGCATATCAAAATAGTCTTTTATATGTCTTGTTTCTCTCAACCTTTGTTTTCAAAGGCATTTCTAGGGTGTGGGTGCACCCCTAGGCGAGGCGCGAGCCAGTTCGCCCCAAGCTCACGAGGAGAAGCAATCCTCACAGGGGCTTCGCATTGGAGCACCTCTAATGCTCGCGAGCTCAGTTTGCGCCCCATAATGGCATTCGCCGAACTAGTGGGGTTAAATACAAAGGAAAAAAAGCCTTAATTTTCCACACATACCTGAATCATGCCGATTCACACATCTCTCCTGCAACAGAAGGTGATCCTGCAGCTGCTTCGTCTCGCAGTAGGCGATTCTGCAATCGTCTACTTCATCTCTAGCATGTTTGTGTGACCATCAAAAGATTCTGCAACATAACCTCTTTCCCTCCCGTATCGTATTTTTGTCTTTCGCACAAACAAGATCCCGCAATTGCTTCCTCCCACAACGCCTGCTTCGTCTCTCGTATGCAACGTGAACAACATGATCGGAAAGCCTGCTTCCTCCCGCAGCTTCGTCTTTTACACACACAGCATCAACAACATTTTACAGGCACACACAAGGGCATTAAACCATGCACTAAAGCCCTCCCTGAAGTTCAAAAAAAATGCAAGAAATCATTGAAAGATGATGCAGAAGTCAATGCACAATGTGACAGCGTATCAAGTGACATTAGAAGTACTGTAATAAATATTTGTGAAGGTTAAAATGCCACTAATTCATTATTACTGGACTACGCTCAGATGACAGATAGAGTTAGAAGTCTAATAGATTATATCACCACAAAAAAAATTTAGGAATTCTACTCTAAATCCAAGCAGAAAAAAAATGAAAGAATTAGAAGTATGTAGAGCAATTGGTAGATTCTGCTACTCAAATGGATTGGCATTTAATATTGTCAATGATCAATATTAAATGTTTGTTTGAAGTAGTTGCCAACTTTAAACCTAGTTTTATTCCACCTACAATGCATGAATTAAGAATTTGGATACTCAAAGATGAAGTTGCTGCAATTAATATAATTTTAGAGAAACATCAAAAGACATGCAACAAATATGGGTACTCGATTATGTCAGATAGTTGGACAGATGAAAAAAGTAAAACTTTGATTAATCTTCTTGTGAACAATCCAGCTAGGACCTTTTTTTTTTAATATGTGGAAGCTTCTAATGCCATAAAGTGCTGAAAGTTATTATTATTCACTTATTTGAATGACGTGACTGAGGAACTAGAAGAAAAAAAATGTACAAATTATAACAGATAATGGGTCAAATTATGTGAATTCAGGTAAAAAGGTAATCGATAGAAGATAGCATAATTATTGGATACCTTGTGCAGCGCAATTTATCAAATTAGTGTTAGAAGATGATAGAAAATTGAAGATTCATGAAAACACACTTGCAAAAGTAAAACAAGTTGTCAAACTCATTTACGGGCAACAGGGATTATTGGCTTCATGAGATCTTTCACAAAAGAAAAGGGCTCATTCGTTAAGTCATCACACAATTTGCTACTGCGTAATTGACCATTCAAAGCATTTACAAACAGAAACAACCACTTCAAGCAATGTTTTTTTTTCTCAAAAACTTGGTGTTTTATTCAATAGGCTAAGAAGAGGAGTATAAAAGCTTGAGCTATTAATCCATATTTTTTGGGTCATCTTGCTTATTATATCAAAAGTATTTTACCGCTTGAAAATACTCTGAGGGAGGTTGATTCAAGTGAAAGTTATGTTAGTGAGTTAATGGATTCAACAAAAGAAAAAATCATTTTTAATTGAGGGCATATTGAAAAGAAGTATTAACCTATTTGGAGAAAAATTGGTGCGAAATGAGAGGTCCAACTTCATAAATCACCATATGCAGCAGATAATTACTTAAACCCTCAATTTAACTTTGAAGAAAATTTCTCTAATTATGAAGATGTGAAACAAAGGTTAATTGCCTGTATGGAAATAATATAAGGATTATGAAGATCGTCTTAGAGCTGACATTCAACTAGACTTGTATGGTAACTTAAGAAGAGACTTTGGGAGTTATGCTATGAACTCAAAAAAGTCAAGATCTCATGCTAATTGGTGGATGAGATTTGATGAAAAAAAAATAAATGTATTAGCAAATTTTACTATTCGAGTTCTTAGTATCACCTGCGGTTCATCATGTTGTGAAAGAAATTGAAGAACATTTTAATCGATAATAAATTTTTAATTCTTAAATTTATTATTTGCTTTCATAATCATCTCTTAAAAATAATATTTTATTTTAGATTCATACTAAGAAAAAGAATATATTAGAGCACAAGAGGTTGAATGCTCTGATATAAAATATAATAGTAAATTAAATGAGAGAAGTATAAAAGGAAATAAGACTTCGATTTGATATTGATAAATAACATAGATTATGATGATGAGTTGATTGTTGAGAAAGAAGATCCATTACTTCTACGAAACCTTCTTGGGTAAATGAAGAATAGCAAGTATTTGATGTTGATGTTATCAGAAATTTGCCCATAGCTAATACAAATGAACAATTACAAAATATTACACCATAAAAGATATTTTTTATCACATATTCCCATAGAGTAAAAAAGTTGAATGAAAGAACAAGTTTCATATTTACATTTAATTGTCCTTTACATAATTATGTATTCTTATAAAAAAAGATCATGAATATTTACGAATGTTACTTTATTTGTTTTTTATAATTTAGGAACAATGATTAAAAGAAACACTTTGTGAATGCATCGGAGATTGAGCATGATGATGACTTTGATGAAGTCGATAATGAATAGAGACAATATAAAGAACCTAATTATCATTTGGACACAACTATTGATGAATAAGAAGAAAATTTTGATTAACTTGGAGAATGAATAACATTCAAGGATTGAGATTAATTGAGCACAAGTTTATTTTTTTGCTCAAACATGATTACTTATTTTTATATGTTTTTACATTTTGTGGTGAATTTATACTAATATATGAAAGATTCTAATCCTAGAAGACAAGTTCTTTTAATGTCTCTTGATATTTTTTCTATTATTAAGCACTAATTTATTTTTTGTCTCTTAATATTTATATTCCTTATATTTTTTTATACTGTGGCGCTTACGCCAGACGCTTTCGGGATTATGCCACAATATAAACTAGTTCTTAATAATAATATTTTTTTTATTATTAAGCACAAGTTTATTTTTTGTCTCTTAATATTTTTATTCCTTATATTTTTTTATCATGTGGGGCTTACACCAGACGCTTTCGGGCTTATGCCTAGCCCCATAACAGCTAAAACACCCTACCCAATGCCACACATTTTAAAACATTGCTCTCAACAGGAAGAATCAGCCTTTCAAAGTGAACATTGGATCTGATCACATAACAAGTGATATCATTGTGTTTCAATCCTTCCATTATTGCAAACATGTTGTCGTTAAACCCGCAGATGGGTCCCTCTCATCTTTGAAGGAAGAGAGGGTGAAACTCACAAAGAATCTGATTCTTTCATCTGTACTTTATGTTCTTAAACATAACTGCAATTTACCGTCTATAGTAAACTTACTTGTGACAATAATTGTGTTATTACATGGGGTATTCGGTGTGGTCACAATAATTGTGTTATTACATGGGGTATTCGGTGTGATAATCTTATGAATCCCAATGAATGAGCATCAAAAGGAGAAGATAATACCCTAATTGAAAAGAGGTATCATAGACTTGTGGGGAAACTTATTTATTTGCACATATAAGACCTAATATTATTTTTCTTTGTGGGTGGGTGCAGTGAGTCAATATATGAATAATCCAAATGATGAACATTTAGAAGTGGTTTTTCGAACCCTTAGGTACCTGAAGATAACTCCAGAATGTGGATTTATACTTGGGAAAGAAACCTGAGAATCATAACATTGAAATCTACATCGATACTAAATAGGCAGAAGAACTAATTGACAAAAGATCTATCCTAGGTTATTATTAATTTGTATACGACTCCAAATCTCTCAATGACTAAAACACATGTCAACAACACCACAATAACATGGTCTCCCCATTCCTGTGGCTCAAAACCATTCCAACTTCCTCCAAGCCATTGCAACCTTCATATGAATCACATTGACTACTCGGCACCGTTCCCGAATCCCTCTCAGCAAAACCTCAGCAGAACTTTCCCATTCCAAATAATCCATCAAAATCAAACTTTGCATATTCTAATTCCTTCGCTAACATCCATTACAATTCCAATTATGTCGTGAATTACATTCCAAACCTAGACACATCACCCCAGCGCTAGATCTGCACCCAAACCCATCTTCCCTGTCTCGCCATTCCCAATATAAATTGTTAATTCATCTCCAATTACATAAATACCAATTCCAACACCCAAACCCCCACCATCGTCAAAATCAGCCAACTCATGTGAGAACTACTGACATCCGAGGAAGCATCTCTTCAATATCACATATCACATATCACCACCCAACTAAGCCAAACCTGCTCTGCCACATCCCCAACACAGCCAAATCTCCCTCACCCTAGAGAATATTTAGCTATGCATTTCTAGGTCTGACGGTTCAACCTATCATGTCTGCAATTATACCAATTGGGAAAATTTGTAGTATGTTGCCAAGGTGTTCATTAAAACATTCCCTACAGAAAACAACTGCAAATTTTGAGCAATCAAGCTACTAGAACTCCTCGTAAGAGTTAAACAAAAATAAACAAAGTTATGGGAGATTATAAGCAAAATCAACCAAAGAATGACTAGAATTGATATCAAATTTGAGCAAAACACGAATCCAAAATCCCAAAGTCTTAAAGCAAACCCTGCAACAAAAGCCACATTATCAAGATTTAGGTTGTTGCACGTTGATTTTTAGTTTGAGAGAAATAGCAGGAGCAATGCCATGCATTTGTTCTATTAACAAAATGCTAGTGCATACTCAATCTCATTATTTTCTTCAAACAAAACTTCAACACCACTCCCAATCAACAATTAAATTTCAAATTCCCTGAAATATTTATAGAAATGTTCCAAGTATGACCAAGGCTACTCCACTAATGCCAAAGCGAAACAAATTGAGTCGGTGTAAGGATTTCTACCACCTCCAGTACCACTAACAGAACATTAGGAGGAGTTGTAGCTTGACGGTTGCCCGCTGTCTACAATTGCGCCGGCATTATTGCCTACCTTCCATGACCTATAGATTATGCATAAGTTTCTTACTTCAATTTATATTTTCTTGCGTAGATTCCTTTTTTGCTTGATCTTGATAAGTTAGAAAGCCACTTTTGTAAACCAAAATAATGATAAGCTTATTCAGTATAATAAGTAGTTAAGTTGAGTTAGAAAGCTATAGTGGGTCTTAGTGGATTATGGGTAAATGGTGAATATCCAGTGTTTAATAGGTATATAATGTGACTTCAAAAGTTTTTGTAAATTTTTTAATACTTCCCTCAAATAGTATAAAGGTATCAAGATGAAATGAACAAATCCACTTACTTTGTGAGTTTTAGGGTATCAAGATGAAATGAACTAATCTCCTTCGCTCTATATAATTCTTCCCTTCCCATTTCTCAATCTCGCATTTTCTAGGGTTGCCATCATTCTTGAATCACTGTCTATCCCTCGCCTAAAAAAAGGCTAAAAACAAATTATCAATCAAGATTTCAAATACTGTAACTCTGAAGTGATTCACCTAGATTGATTGCAGGAAGTTTTATTTAAATAGTCACTAGTAGATACTATTTATTTTGAGGTTAAAAAAGTTTCCCTAACATTTAAGGACTATTTCAAGTAAATAATATTTATATTACCATCCAACCGACTAGTTTTAAATTTCTTAAATTTATTATTTTTTTTAAATATGCTCCTATATACAAGAAACCAACCAAGTCCTACGAAAGGATGACTTGCAAGAAAATGGGAATTAATTAGTTCCAAACACAAAGAGCCACTACAAAGAGGCAATCCATGACTCAATCTATGGTCAAGGATGATCTATTGCATCAGTATGTTTATCGGCCAAAAATGATAGCACTAGGTTGCAACCCTTCTGGAAGAAGAATAGGCAAGTTAGGCAAGATGAGGCAGTTGAAATAAGTGGGTGGATGTAAGTATGTGTTCTGGTAGTGAGCGAGTAGCCTAATGAACATGCAACAAGTTTATACAAATATGTAGAGCATATCATGTGATGTGATGCCAATGTCCTACTAGAAGGTTTAAACAAGTCCTACCAAGAGAAATAATTCAATATTTCATGAAGAAGACATGGTTTTCTAACCAATGCTACATGCAATAAAGTCAATATAGAACTGATAATGCAATAAGTATGTATGTATGTCTGTGTGTGTCTGTGTCTGTGTGTGTGTCTAAATACATATATATATATAACAAAGAGAATCAAACGCAATGAAGTGCTAAAGCAACAGTAAGAAAATCATGGAATGCCCATCATTCAGTTGTTGTAGACCCACAAATCCTCCAAGAAAATACATCAGAAAAGAAATAAATCGCAATGAAAATATTTGAATAAAAATTTCAGTCTTCTACAATGTAAAAGACACAAAGACCATGATTGTATGATCGTATCAATACCTAGAAATTATGCAAAATCATGAAGGATTTAACTCATACATCAAAAATGTTCAATGAAAGCCGTATTAATTCATCTATTGAGAGATCATTTCCGAATTTCTAGCCAAGAAGATTGAACAGATTAAATAGGACAAACAGAAGAACTTGTAAGAAGGAAATTGAGACAATATTGCAAGTCAGCTAAGAAAAATAAATAGTACTGTGGACATTTATCACACCAGAAAGGACCCAAATGGCCACCTTTCTTTAAAGGAAATGAAGAATCAAATCATCCAAACAAAAAGATAACTATCCACATCCACTCCGCAATGTTTCTAGGCAGCCAAACATTATTTCCCCCATACTTTCCCATTATCTCATATCCCCACTTCACCAGAATTCAGAAGAAGATGCAGAACCATCTCTGCTATCCAATGAACAAACTTAAACCGAAAGCATGAAGCAATGATCATGCAACCAGACATCATGCAATTAACAGACCTCGGAGCAACAAGCAGCTCACCCATCTGCAAATAATCCGATAGCACAAATCAAACGAATGGCTGGAACCGAAAGCATGAAGCAATGATCATGCAACCAATTAACAGACCTCGGAGCAACAAGCAGCTCAGCCATCTGTAAATAATCCGATAGCACAAATCAAACGAATGGCTGGTGCATCACATTATACGTTGTCACCATCAGTACGATCATCCATCCTCAGGTGTCGACGTGTTTGCCTCTGGCGCCGTCTTGATCCACTAGGAGCCTCTTCACCTCCACCATTATCATCATTACCATCAATGGCACCATGCTCATCAAGACCATAATCATAATCATCATCTACATCATCACCATCATCACCATCACTTCGATCTCTTCCATCCAGCTCAGCATCAACAATAGATTCACCCCAAAGAACTCTCCCAACTCTTCTTCTCCAAGACCTGGACGATCTAGATGATCCCCTCCTCCCATTAGACCATCCGACGCTGCTACTAAGCCCTCCAGTTCCTCTAAATCGCAGAACCAAGAAGAACGTAATTGTAGGAAAGGGAAGCAAACCTCCAAAGTCACCGCCATCCGAAAGAACAGCGAAACCATCCTCCTCTCCTCCAAGAGTCGACTGCATCGTGCTGAACAAATCACCCAGATCACGCTGCTGCTCCAACCTCCTCCAGTCTCTCTCGCGCTCCGGATCTGCCTCCGACGGCCGTTCGAGCGGATGCTCTGTTCTCGCGTGCTTCCTCAGCTCACTATAAGCCCCAGAAAACCCACATGTTTCCGTTGAGCAACTCCGTTCCTTACTGTTCATATGCTTCCGCGCCGCCTCGACAACTTTAGAGCCGGAGACGACGCCGCGGCAGAGAGGGCAGGAAAGGTTCGGCTTGGAATCCGCGGGCAAGGACGCTTTGATGGCTTTTCGGTACTGGTCGAGGCAGTTGGAGTGGCGGTAGCTTGTGTCGCACATGAAAGGACGGCAACCTTTTTCATGGGAGGCGCAGAGAAGCAGGACAGCGTTGTGGGGGTGTTCCATGCACACGGGGCAACGGATCTCGTCCCATTGTTGAAAGTCAGCTGCTGCGGGCCGAGGAGATCCAGGCGGATTTCTTGAGGAAGAGGGGAGAGGGGAGTGGCGCAGATGATTGGTGGAACGGGAGGGGAAAGGAGAGGGGCGATCAAAAGAAACAGAGCGGCTTCGTCTCTCCTTGGGCATCGTGTTGACAAAAAGAGAGGTAAAGAGAAAGGCAATAGAGATGAGGTTAGGGAGAGCAGGATGGTAAGATCAAGAGAGGAGGAAGAGGAAACCCTAGTTCCGGTGGGGAAAAGAAAAGGAGTGAAAAACAGGACAGGGCGACCATATCCCTCATTTACGTCTGAGCTCACAGCTGCCAAGCAGACGCCGACTTTTTGGAAATTGATTTAGGAGGGGAATCCAGTCCGTTCATTTTGAGATATAGGACTGCATTTTGACCGTTGAATTTAAAGTTTACCTGCGTTATACCTTTTTCATTACAATTATCATTTATTCTCAAAAATATCATTATGCCCCAAAAAAATTAATTTAAGGTGTTCTAATACGATTTTTAATTTAAAAAAATTGCATGATACTCTTAAAAAATATAGTATTTAATTATTAATATTAAAGAAAATAAAACTTTATATATTTTCAACATATAATAGTTTTATATTATTTTTTAATTGAAATATTCTATACATTCATTAATATGTAATTTTGAAAAATAAATAATTGTATCGCAAAAATATTAAAAATTCAGAACTTAGATCAGAAGGCATATGATGGTGAGAAAGCCTAAAATATGAGGATATATGTCGTGACTGGACGAGCAAACTTAGAATCGTCAGACTAAAGTGAGGTTTATTAAAAGAAATAAGACCTCCAGAGCCCTAATTTAAAGGAAGAGAAAAGAACAAACAGAATGTAAAGGACTTATAACCTTATCTGGAAATGGTTTTCATCTAGACCATCTAAACATAGTAAAACTATGCATAACTAGTCCCAATGAATGCAAAATGAGATAAACTAACATTTATTAGAAAAAGTATGTTTTACAACTAGATTATAAAATCAAGCTAACAAAATATGAGTGGCATGCATAATATCATAAGACTAATATGAATATATTTTTGGTAATTTAAATTTTTAATTTTTAATTTTTAATTTTTAAAGCTCACCACACTCAACTATTTTTATTATTTTGGTTAACCTTTAGTGTTGAGTGAACATAATAAGCTTTGAATAGGTATGTAAGTCTTTGATGATGAACATTTAGAAGATTTGTTTTTAAGATCATATGATGTGTAGATTCAGAACTCACTCTACAAAGTGGTGACTCTCAAAGGACAAGTCACACCTTTCCATACAATAGGTAAAGGTAATGAATAGATGCAATATGAAATGATTATACCCAAAGTGATCTTTTCGTAGCTTTTTCTAGATCAAAGAGATGTGCCTACTCAATTTTAATTAATATCAATTTTTTTTTTATTTATAATGCATGACGTTTCTAGAGTGTGAATGTGAATTCAATGTTTTCTTTATTTTTTAGTTTTGGTTATCAGTTTTATTAATTTTGAAAAGTTATGTTACAATTTTTTAGTTTAGGTAGAAAATTTAATCTTTAATAAGCCTATCAGTAATCTAGGAAAAAAACAAATGAAATGTCAACATAAAATTTAGTCAAATCTATCGAACACAAACAAAGTAGTACGAGAAAAGAGGACAAAGTGAGTACCAATGGCAGGTCTTTGTTAGGCTCGTCGGTCAAACATGTAATTCGAATATTGTTGCTGGTTTAGTTGAGACTCATCACTTTGTTTATGTTTATTTTCCCTTGAATGGTTCAAATGTCAATAGTTGACCAACTATGACAAACACCCTAACTTTATAAATAAGAAAAGACATAATAGAAAATAAACATATGTTTATTATGGTAGCCTAGGTTTATTATAATAGCCCTAAAAAATAAAGTTAGCACATTCTAAGTTTACTTTGACATCTTATAAACATTTAAGGAAAACTACAACAACCCAGACTAGCATAACAAAGGAGGGCACTATTTAAGAAAATAAATTTAATTTAATCATCCCAAGCAAGTGTCTAACAAACAAACAAAGCGCAGAACACAATCATAATAGAATGAACTCACCGGCCTAATCCTAAGGTTAAAGCCTCATGATGTCTAAAAGATAGATTACTAAATAGTTGGGGAAGATGGTGACAAAACCCGATCAAGATCATATGCTTTTGTCATCTCAGGTTATCATGGTCCTCGATCTACTTTGTCAGAAAAGGTAGTTGATCTGATCATGATCGAAAAATTTTTTCGTCAGCAACGATGGTTGCTTCACCCAAGAGATCTTTATATACCTACAGTAGATTATCTATTCAAGTTGTTGGTTCTTTAAGTTTTAGTGTCTTTAAAATTTTATGAGTTTTGTTGATTTTTCAATATGATTGTCTTTTACTTTTAATTTAATTTTGGATAGTGTTGTATTATTACTTTTATTATATGAAGACTCTGATCAAGATTCAATGGATCCATTATCCAAGAGTTATTAGTGTATGTAATCCGTTTGATTAGAAATAATCAGAGGATTCCTTATTAACAATCAGAGGTTACTCATCCAAGGATACCTTGCAAACTGAGTTTAATATGATAGCCTAAGTTTACTACAATAACCCTATAAAATAAAGTTAGCACTTTCTAAGTTACTATGACATCTTATAAACATTTAAAGAAAACTATAGCAACCTAGACTAGCATATCACAGGAGGGCATTATATAAGAAAATAAATTTTATTTACTCATCTCAAGCAAGTGTCTAATGAGCAAACAAAGCGTTGAACACAATCATAACAGAATGACCTCATTGGCCTAATCCTAAGGTTAAAGCCTCATGATGTCTAAAAGATAGATTACTAATTAATTAGGGAAGATGATGACAAGACCCGCTCAAGATCCCATGATTTTGTCATCTCAGGTTGTCATGATCTTCGGTCTACTTCGTCAGAAGAGGTAGTTGGTCTGATTATGATCGAAAAATTTTTTCGTCAGCAACCATGGGTTGCTTCACCCAAGAATGATCGAAAAAATTTTTCGTCAGCAACCATGGGTTGCTTCACCCAAGAGATCTTTATAGACCTGCGGTAGATTATTTCTTCAAGTTGTTGGTTCTTTTAGCATAAATAAAAAAAGGTGAGACTTATCACTTGCATGGTAGAAAAAAAGCCCAATGCTAGATATAATAACCCTTCATAACTTTTCTAATATATTTCTTAAAAACTAAAAAAGATTATTACAAATATATTCACCAAAATAATAAATATTTCCATGTCTGAACATGGGTCAAAGGTTTATTTATTGACTAATTCTATTAGGTGATAAAGTTAGCTCCATGGAATTTGTATAACTCAATACTAAATGCAGTCCAAAACATTATGAACCAAAATATGTTAAAATATTAGTGTTAAACTTTATAGAGAAGTTTCAATTAACAATACTAAACTTAAATGATCAAATATTTAATTCAATTAAGTTTGATTGTTGATACACCCTAACTAAATAAAACAATAATTAATATTGTGTGCCTTTAACTCTGAACATGTGCCTAAGATTCTAACTCATAAGAATAATTTTTATTTTATTTTTAAGGTTTTTTTCGCAGACAAGAAAAGATCTATTTATGGGTGAGTTTGATGCGCACAAAATTTACAAATATTTAACCAACCTTTGATCAATACTTTTTATGCTTATATGCACATTATTTATTAAATTTTCATACACTAATTACTCAAATTTGAATTTTGCAGCTGTCGGCACTATTTTTGGTGTGGGGTTTGCCCGTAAGAAGCTGTCGGTCATCGGAATTGAATTCCCGTTGCCCGCTTCGGAAGCAGATTTTAAAAATGTTAATTTTGAAAAAGG